TTCCAATAAAAATTTAGTTGCGAGTCAGCGCTGCCGTGTCCCTTCTTCTGTTGTGTCCACGTAGTCTTGCGCTGTGTTAAAATATGTTAAACCCTGTATAGCACAAGGAGGTAGAATGCTGAATGAATTCAACAGATGTAGCAATGAATACATAGTCCACTCTTGGAATTTGGTTCGCAGACTTCTTGGTTTCTTCCATTTTCTTATTACCTGTCTTTATCAGGTCGCCTGGTTCTTTGCATCTGGTTATTGCTTTCCTGAGAGTTGTACAAATGTTTCTGGTGACCTTGATTACGCAATTAAAGTCACCTGACGCACCTGGGAGCTGATGCGAAAGGTTTGGTGGTTGAAAAGATGATTTATCAATATCTTCGCAGCAGATACGTATTTTTTGGGCGCGTCTGGTTGTACCGCTGTCGAGCGCGAAGTTGTACCACTGTCGAGGCTAGTGACTCCTTTAGTAAAAGGTTCACGCCGATGCCACGTGGCTTTGTACCTCAGGTGCTTCGAAGCCTTTGCATGAAGGAATCATTTTGTTCTGCTGAACTATTGTTGCGGTGTAGCCATGCCCACTAGGCTGTAGTGAGGAAAGAGGAGGACGACATGTTCTGGTGAAACGCAACCATCATATTGACTGTCGGGTTGTTTACCCCTATAAATATCATGTAAATACAATCGCAACATTTTGGTAGACGTGCTGAGTACGACGCAAGACGAAACTCCACAGCGGTCGTGTCCTGGACAGCTCCACAATGAAAACAGAAGGAAAGTCTACCGCTTCTACTTCGACTGCGGCTACGGGCCAGCAGCCGGTCGTACTGACTCAGTCGAGTGACCCGGGTAACTTCTGCGGTACAGACAACGTTTACGTCGACGACTGGATTGAGAAATATGAGCGTTTTGCAACGGTTTATTAGTGGGTTTATTAGTGAAAAACGGAGGAAGCGTCAAAGCAGTGAAGAGGAAACTTGGGATAGGCAGAAATCGGATGTATGCACTAAGGGACAAAGAAGGCAAAATAACTACCAATATGGATAGCATAGTTAAAATAGCGGAGGAGTTTTACACAGACCTGTACAGTAGCCGGGAAAACCCTGACCTTAATACTATAAGAACTAGCAGTAACCCAGATGATACACCACCAGTAATGATAGAAGAAGTCAGAAAAGCATAGGAGAGCATGCAAATAGGTAAAGCTGCTGGTGAGGACCAGGTAACATCAGATCTGCTGAAAGATGGAGAACAGATTGTGTTAGAAAAACTAGCCACCCTGTTTACTAGGTGCTTCCTAACGGGAAGAGTCTTGGAATAATGCTAACATCATCTTAATACATAAGAAAAGAGACGACAAGGACTTGAAGAAATACAGGCCGATCAGCTTGCTCTTTGTAGTATACAAGCTATTTAGAAAAGTAATTGCTAACAGAGTAAAGAAAACATTAGAATTCAATCAACCAAAGGAACAAGCAGGATTTCGAACAGGCTACTCAACAATCGACCACATTCATACTATCAATCAGGTAATAGAAAAATGCTCAGAATATAGCCAACCACTATACATAGCCTTCATTGACTACGAGAAGGCGTTTGATTCAGTAGAAATATCAGCAGTCATGCAGACACTGCGAAATCATGGCGTCGATGAACCATATAAAAACGTCCTGGAAAAATATACAGGGGATCAACTGCTACCATAGTGCTTCATAAAGAAAGCAACAGAATACCAATCAAGAAGGGTGTAAGGCAGGGGGACACAATCTCCCCAATGTTATTTACCGCGTGCTTACAGGAGGTTTTCAGAAGCCTAGAATGGGAACAGTTAGGGATAAGAGTTAATGGAGAGTACCTTAGTAACCTGCGCTTCGCCTATGACATTGCATTGCTGAGTAACTCAGGGGACGAATTGTAACTCATGATTACAGAGTTAGACAAGGTGAGCAGAAAGGTGGGTCTTAAAATTAATCTGCAGAAAACGAAAGTAATGTACAACAACCTCGGAAGAGAGCAGCGTTTCAATATAGGTAAAAGTGCACTTCAAGTTGTCAAAAAGTATGTCTACTTAGGGCAGGTAATAACCGCGGAGCCGAACCACGAGATTGAAGTAACTAGAAGAATAAAAATGGGGTGGAGACCATTTGGCAAGCACTCTAAATAATGACAGGTAGATTGCCACTATCCCTCAAGAGGAAAGTATATAACAGCTGCATCTTGCCGGTACTTAGCTATGGAGCAGAAATCTGGAGACTTACACAGAGGGCTCAGCTTAAACTGAGGACGACGCAGCGAGCAATGGAAAAAAAAATGGTAGGTGTAACCTTAAGAGTCAAGAAAAGAGCAGAGTGGATTAGAAAACAAATGGGGGTTAAGGATATCACAGTTGAAATCAAGAAGAGGAAATGGACATGGGCCGGGCATGTAGCACGTAGACAGGATAACCGCTGGTCATTAAGGGTAACTAACTGGATTCCCAGAGAAGGCAAGTTGGTTAGGGGGAGACAGAAGGTTAGGTGGGCAGATAAGATTAAGAAGTTTGCGGGTATAAATTGTCAGCAGCAATCACAGGACCGAGTTAACTGGCGGAACATGGGAGAGGCCTTTGTCCTGCAGTGGACGCAGTCAGGCTGATGATGATGATGATGACGATGATGATGATTAGTGGAACCCAGCAATGATGCTCGCCAACGTAGGCTTCTATCTCTGCGGCACAGGAGGCATGTGGTTTCAGGCCGATGAGGCCGATGATATAACACGTTTGGGGGCATGTAAGCAAAAGCCCCATGACCTCTTTGGTAGACCAGCCGGGCGCCAGCAAGCCGCTTAGAAAGATCTCTCCAGCCGAGCTCAAACTTCGACTGATTCATATGCGTCGTGCATACTTGATGTCTGGCACTTTGTCATCGTATGGACACCAGCATGGCCGAATATGAGAAAGTCAGACATCCTTGAAGGTCATTGCAGATGATGATTTCAATCTCCTGGTGTCCTAGGACTACTCGACCATGGACGACATCATAATAGAGTATCGGCGCTTCGAAGAACTGAAGAGTCGCCGCATTGCCAAGTTTTTCATGTGGTTTCCAAATACTGCATCTACGTCATCCTGCGAGGACTTTCAGCCGACATGCACTGCACTGCCCACCACCAAGAGCATAGCCCGCATTGTGCGTCGCGAAATCGAGGCGGCATCTCCACGATCTTTCCTGGGGCGGCCGTCTGGAACTCCTCGACCAACAATCTCGCTTATCGAGAAGAGTGTGCGGGAAGAACTAGCAAATGTCGGGTTTTCAGCCCGTATGTTCGCTCACACCAGCTCGTCCAAGTGCCATGACGCCACCTTCGCGTGCACAGGAAACGTTTCGTCGCTACCGTGACCATTCATAGTAGAGAACGCAGGACGACTAGCCGATATGCTTTCGTTGCCATGACGTGGGGCATACTGCTCGCTATGGGCGGTCTCGCACATCGCCATCTCGCTCGTTTTTTTTTTTTGGACTATCAATTTGGTGACAACCGGCCCCTGCAGTTTGACGCTCGTGACAGCGGACCACACAATCGGGCTCCTCCAACATCAGTCCGACGCTCCAGTCGTTCACCATCCCCGCACTAAAATTTCTCCCTATGAACAATGACTCCGATTTCTCGGCATTATGCGTCACCCTGACCGAATGATTAATGCGCAATTGACTGGACGTCAAGCATACAACTAACCTGAAGAAAAGCCGGGCTTGTCACCACGTGCAGTTTCACCTGTGGTGTTATGAATTTTCTGCGTAACCCTACGGTTGTCATGAGCAGCTTAGAAGCTACACTTAAATAGAAGTGAGGACACCATAAGTATAGTTCAGTATGCCACTCATACATTATATGCCAGGCACATAATAGACATACTCCAGCGTTTTATGAAGGTCCGCTGTTCTCAGCCTAACAACAATCGACTACACTCTGTTTCATAATAACCACCGATGATGTCATACAAAAAAAAAGTTAGGGGATCCTAAAGGTTCGCCTTTGGGAGTTGAACGGGATAGCGATCACCTGTTCCTAGTGCGTACTTCAAACACATAGTGCATGAAAACCTTTGGAACTAGTTATGCACTCACTACGTTGCCTTGAAGTAACACCTATATATGCACTCACTACGTTGCCTTAAGAGAATCGGCGCAGTAGCGTTTGTGCCTTTTGTAGTGGGTGACCGGCTTTACACCACGAAGCCATTATGATAATCACATGTTCTGACGGCCGCTGGCAATGGGCGCTTGTACCGCGCATTATTACTGCAATATTCCGTGTTGCATTGTGAAGGTTGTAACATGACTAGTGTGTTTGTAAAGCATGAAAGCCGCTTTAAATGCATTTCCAAGCAGAGGGAGTTTTTTTTTTTAATGGTATTCACAAGCAGATGCGTGGCCGTGTGGTATAACAACCACTTTCCACGCAAATTACCGGGATTGATCCCCAATCGGACCCCATTTACCTTGGTTGTTCTGTCCCAGCTCTGGCCCAAGATTTCTTTTATTGTTTATTTGATTTGCATCGTTCTAGATTTTTTGGTCACGCATAATATCATAATTTTTTGCTCACAACCAATGACACTGACGTCAACACCAACGCCGGAATTTCAGCGCAACGAGCTCTTTAACGCTGTCCCATTATAATTAGGACAATTTAAATGTACGCACGTTGATTACTGCCATAATTGCAATTTTTTACATTCCTCGCAGAACAGCCGTTTTGCCTCGCCTCTGTAAGATAAATTACATGTTTCGTAAGAGAAACATCACGTTCAGCTACCTCTGCACTTCTCGAATTATGCATACTGTTATATATAATTTGACTACTCACATCACACGTATGTATTGAAGGTACTCGGCATTTCAGCTAACTCTCCAAATTAAGTTAATTAAAACAAGAAATGCATGTTTATCAACGCGCGATCGCTCTCGGAGTAAGACCATTGTTGGATTCCGCTCCGTACGGTTTACCCGAGGATTCGTTCTTACGTGTATGAATGACGTCTGATGCGGGCAAACACACACAATGGGGGTCGCTTCGTAACTAGGCCTTCGCAGGAGAGCCGGCATTGACATCGGTGGCCTGTGGAGCCGCAGGCTGAGGCGAAGTCGACGTAGTCGGCGCAGCGGAAGGAGAAAGGGCAGGAGGCGTCCGAGATGGTGCTTTCTTGGCGACCACCACGGCGACTGGATGATCCACTGCGCGATGCCGAGAGCGCCGACGCGTGTGTTTTACGAACAGGTTGTCTCGTATGTCACACTTCACCATCCCGCCTAACTCCCCCCTTCTTTTTTTTTTCTTAAGAAGGTCAGCATATCTGACCAGGAACAATGTTCGGTTTGTGATCGCGGCTGCGCTGTTCACTGAAAAGTGCACGCTGTGATTGGACGAAGCATTGCGAGGGGAGAATGGACCTTGCGACAAGCGCATATAGAGTCCAAGGAACTGTCAGAGCTATGCCGGCGATGGACCCTGATATAGAGCAATTGGCGTCTCGGACACTGGATTCTCTGAGTATAGAGTTCTCCAACAGAAGCTAGCGGCACCGAAAAGCAACTCACCCCAGTGACGTTCGAAGAGTAAATGATCGTTAATTTCGTTGAGATTATGTTGTTTATAGGAAGTGACTTGCGGCCTTCATGCAGGAATACCATACCACTTACGCAACTTTCAGTGGAAGGAGCTTCATAGAATCAGGCGGCAGTGATAGACCACGCGGTAAGCATGCGTACTGTATAGTCAGAATAATCTTGGCGTTTCATCTGCTTCTTCCAATCACAGCGCGCTTTCCGGGGTCACTGTTCTTAGGTATTGAGATGGAGATGCGGTCACATTCTGCGTAATTGAATTGGCGCGATACGGAGACACTATATTAGGAAAGATCAATGGCTAGATTCTAATGATAGCTGGCCGTGTACTATTTTTTGCACACACTTAGAAATCGCCTAGCTATAGTGGACAAAGCACGCATATCAAACAATAACAATTTTTTTTCTAGATTATCTAATTGACGTATCCTAGTGTTTGCGGCACAAGTTCGTCATGTTTCAATTTTTTTCTTCTATTGAAATTATTGGCAAGGCTGAGTTTTCGTTCATGCTCACGAAGGCCACACAATTGGTTAATGAACGATGAACAACCACCTCTGACTTTACGTTGGCTTAATGTGTGGATTCACGGGGAGCTCAGGCCGGTGCCACTGCTGGTGTCGGAAGGGAGTAGAGAAGGTGCGCATGGGTAGACAACCCGCCTTCACAGCCCCCCCCCCATCCCATTCCTTCTGAACTTTTTAAGAAACTCGCTTGTCGTGGGTCTTCTCCATAAATAATAGTAGTGGCAGGCTATACGAATCTGTTGAAACATATTTGCGTCGACAGCACATCATGTGGTATGCATGTTTATGTGGCACGTCAGCATGTGGTCTGCATGAAGAAAAGATTGCGCAACAGGTATGCAGAAAGGTCGCTAAATTTTACAAGAACCTACAAATTCAATGAGTGCCTGTGTACTGTTACCAAGTTGCTTACTTTAAGTTGATCACGAACGAACTTATAAGCGTACGTGTACCAACGCAGGCCCATTTAGGAAAATTTACCGCGAAATGAGTGCAATATGTTTCGATCGTTTACTGCTTTCCATGATACCATATCTTGTTTGAACGGTTCGAAGATGCTTACATGAACAATTGAGTGTCAGCGGCCATAAGCCGATGTGGTACATAATGATACAAATATATCCACTCAAAAGGAGCCTTCTCGGGCTCGAAATCTTCCCCAAGTATACTGCAGTCGAAATGTGTAGAGATACTTTCACTCCAATTGAATACATGACATGAGCTAGTCAGCAAGGGGTTTCACAAATGCTTGCGCGTTGCATAAGAAGACTGGTAGCAAAGAGTGTTCAAGGAATCGCACTACATCGCTAAAGGCAATAGGGCGACACACAAACGGAGGCGTGCAGAGAGCATGCGTCGTCCATATGCTGACATCGCTCGCCACTTACTTGAGATGGCTGGCTTCGGCTTCTCGGGCCAGTGGTCACCGATAGCCACCTTGTACAGCCACACGCCCAGTATGGCGCCGATGTGAGGGCCGAGCAGAGGAACCCACACGTAGTTCCATCCGCGGAGACTGAATGAAGAAGGGAAGGGAATGCACGCGATGTTTCATGCAGAACGCGGTGGCGTTGAAAATGACGCTAAAATAGAAGAGCCTATTGGTTTAGAGTGAAAAATAGACTCCGAAGCAGTTAGTTTCACCCCCATAGGTTAATAATGGAGGAGAAAATTTAGGTCAAAGTTTCATTTTTAAAATTTTTTTGCTGAAATATCGGCGCATGGAGTCACAGATTTCCAAGAGTATCTTTAATATTTTGTATCTCAACAAAATTTTCCCAAACTTGGTATGCCAAGTGTATGACCCCTTTAAAAGACAATGTAGTTCATTTTTCGGGATCAGCGACTATGTATACGACCCAGTTGACGCCGTCGAAATTTATGACGTCATGGTATTTGGTGCGGGGTTATCAAGGTAGTGTCACCAGCCGCATTTTATTTTTGTGCGGTTTCACGCTTATCAAGCGTCTCCTCGTAGCAAGTTAAGTGTTTTTCTTATCTTGGAACAGTAAGGATTTGCCCATATCAGAAAGACATTTTTGTCGTTAATGTCCCGTTAAAGGGCGCACTAAAGAGAGTAACGTTTGTCCTAAGCTCATTAAAAAAATTATGCTCTCATGTTACCAAAAGCACAACTCTAGCAGTTAAGTGAGACCTGGTAAGCGAGAAAACGCGAAAGAAAGGAAGTCTAACTTTCCGCGTCAACTCTCCGTGGCGTCGTATATAGACTTGGACGGCGTCTGCAGCGGCCTGTATAGTTCTTAACAATTAAAACAAAAGCACATGATGCAGTCAGGCGGCCAGATGCTAACCTGCCTAGTTTAAGATAATATCGCTGTGCCAATGTCATTGAAATACGAAATAAAAACAATAAAACTGGCGTCTATGACGTCCCGGAGCAGAATTTAAAAATGACACTCTGTCCTTCGTTCTCACTTTTTGAACAAACGCCGGTCATGAAGGGCGAATTTTGATATACTTCTGTCTTCCCCTAACCCGCTTGCCTTCTCTAGGAATCCACTTAATTAACCTTAATGACCAGTGGTTATCCTGTCTACGTGCTACATGCCCAGCCCATGTCCATTTCCTCTTGAATTCAACTATGATATCCTTAACCCCAGTTTGTTTCCTAATCCAATTTCAAAAAACCCTCACAAATCGTTGCTTAATTGACTAATCATCTTTCACCTGGCTGGCATTCTTCGGCCATACATGAGCTTGTACAATTCACAACAATTCACAAAAATAACTTATAATACTTCAGGATATCAATCAAAGACAATTTGAATCAAGCTGATCAGTTGCCAAACAATCGTGCATCGCTCTTCAGAACAAAATTCTTGTCTGAATGCGGCCCTAGCCCAATAGTACAGCTTACATCATCACATGTCATTAGTGTATTGAATGTATACAAAAGAGGACATGGAAGACTGAAAGGACGTACGTGAACGTCTCGGGTCCCCACCCGGCCATGAGCGTGAAGAGCCGTGGCGAGATGTCCCTGGCCGGGTTGAGCGGGCACATGCAGTTGTAGGCGAAGCTGAAGATAATCGCCATGATCATGAGACCCAAGCAGATTGGGTGAATATGCGGCGGAATGCCGCCGAAGTTGCGAGTGTCGCCGATGGCCTCGACGCACACCATCATTATGCCCGTTGCAATGACCTGCGAAATGATTGGGCATTCTTCGACACTGTCACGCGTGATAATGAAATAAACTATTGGGGTTTTGTGCGAAACAACCACGTTGCGGTTATGAGGCGTGCCGTTTAGTGGGAGATGGATCAGTTTCAACTAGCTATAGGGCCCTTTCACGATCTAAGTACACGAATTTTCTTTTCATTTCACCCTGGACAAACAGAGAGCTTTATTTGGGTGATCAGAAACGCTAGTATACTGCTATGTACCAACGCCACTCGAAGGTGCGGTCGGAAAGGCCTAGCATCATCGACACACCGTGACCTCTCCAAACAGCCTGTAGTTTCGGTGAAAACTCTGGATTTCGTAAGGCAAGAGTCCCACTCTTCTTTGCAAGCCGAAGACGGTGCCGTAACGAGGGTCATCGTCAGAGCATGCGTTCAAAGTAAGAAACTCGGCAGTCAGGGCATGTAGAGTCGAAATCCTCAGAAGAGACGATGCTATAAGCAAAGATAGAGTTGTGTAGGACTTTGTCAGTAGCGTTCTAGATGTGTTGTAGTGAGATCTAGGCAATTTGCTCTGCGACAGAGGAACAAGCCACTGACTCAACCGGTAGTTCTTGGCGATTTAGATGAAAGCGAGTAAAGTGTCCCTACAGACACCCTGCAGCCAACTTGCACCCTTACGTCCTCCCTATAGCGCGGAGTGTTAGTGAGCGCGCGAGAGAGTGAGCATTGTTGAGGGTCGCGATGTGGTGCAGCTGGGGCGCGAGATGTGCAGGATGCCTTTCTGACACGTTGAAAAAGACCCTGAAAGCTTTCCTCACAATCCGATCACTGTACAAGCATTTCTTCTGCCACAGGGAAGAGCCACGCTTTGCAGAGTAGACAGCCAAATCACTGGTCGTCTTAATCTTGGCACACTGGTCATGCTCACGCAAACGAAAGTTGAGGTTCAATCCTGCTCGACGTATACTTACGCATACGTGCCGCCGCAAGGTGTGGTTATTTCATAATTTACATTGGTTTTGAACACAGCGTACTGGGATAACAACAACTTGTTGGTTTAGGCGAAATGGTCCACCTTAAGAATAACTTGAAGCTGGGAAAAGGAAAACGATGTCGAAAGGGGGCCACACACAGCAGGACGAGCGGTGGTAGTGCTCTAACGCTAGTCCTGTTGTTCCAGCGCTTGTCCTATTGCGTTTGTTCCTTCTTTCGCATCGTTTTTATAAGCTCTACTTCAACTTACTCGAATACTGGGTACTGCACCTTGCACCTTCAGTTTTTGACGGCTGTCGTAAACGACTCCTTGCACAAACTTCTATTTACTAGTTTCAGTAAACACCGATTGCATCGTGCAGTACGGCCCGCAAATTTACATATTTTCCAAGCGTTACAAACAACTGCTCTGAAGTTGTTTGTTAATTAGCTTTTTCAAGGCAACTACAGCCTATATATATATATATATATATATATATATATATATATATATATAGAAAAGGTATTTTTGCCTCACCGTAGAGCTACTCTGCTAATTAGGCAGTTGTCTTACATCTGTGCCGCACGTTGAACGATTGATCACGATTAAGCTTCGTCGGGATCAAATTTCTCAACTGTGAGTGACTACAGCTCCTGGAGCTCCCGTAAAGAAGACAATCACGACCGCAAAAATTCCATTCGGATCAAGCTCGATCGCGATCAAAAGTGATCGTGTGAGACCTGTATTAAGGTCACAGGCATTTTATAAAAGAGCTGCATTGGCAAATCAAGTAACCGACGATTACGCACGTTGCATATATGCGTAATTCACTTTCAGCGAAACCCACCTGATCAATGAAGCAGGTCAGAGTGGAGACGTGTGGTCTAGGGTAAGTTGCAAATATACCAGCCGTGGCCTTCTCTCCCGTCACTTGGCGGATTCCCTGGTCGAAGTGTTCAATAGCGTCTGCAACGATCAATGAACCATGTCGTTGACAATGTTGTTACCGCTTAAAATGAGTGCGTCAAAGATACAGCATGAACAGCGCGTGAAGCTCACCGTGAAAGAACATCCACTTGTATTCACATATACACTATGCATTGGAGCACTAAGCTCACGCAAGCATTACATTCCCAATTCCTGTTTAATCATAGGCCCACACCCCGTCGAAGCCTCCTGCCGCATCATCGTTCGCAACCCTTTCCCACCTGTCTACATCTCTTTTTTTCGTTTCTGCCTTGTCCCCTGAAACCGGAGACCACGCGAAACTATCTCTTCACCCTGTCGTCTTCAACCCCGTGGCTTTAGCATTATCGTGTTTTTAGCATTATCAGCAAGATGGCGCAATGAGCGCGCTGCAGCTCTCATCTCACGCGCACTTTGGCCCGCGTAGAGGAGGAGAGTAGACGATCTCTCGCGCGTCCTTATCTCCCGGTGGGGAGGATCATACGCCTTTGCTGGCGTAGGGGCACTGGAACAATTTTGTTGCTGTTACGGCGCGCAGAAAGGTCGCTGCAATCGTTGCAAAGCTTCCATTTGTGAAAAAAGGCGCGCTTTTCAGACACAGCGAAGTAACAACTGAGACGATTATTCGCTTTCATCTGCACCTGTGAGTACGTTTCGCGCGACATTTGTGCGTGAGAAACACGGGGCACGTTTTAATCTGCTTGCCATTTTGCGCGTGACCTTCCAATTTGTTGCTATAGCGTTCCTTGCTTCGCCTTTGCGGCAAAGCTGCGATTTTTTTTGTCGACTCAACATTATGTTGAAACTATAATTCCCATTTTTTATGGGACAAAAACATGCTTGTTGCCGCCAATGTGATGAACGATCTTCTCATTCGCACCATAATCAGATTTTTTTGTTTTCCCCGAGCGGTAGACAGTCCCTCTAACTGTACTGGGGGGTTGAATCCTCCAACCCATTACAGATGGCCGAGTTAAAATTCATCCTCCTCATCATCAGCCATGACATCAACAAAGGCTACAGCTATTCACGTGACGTGATGATGATGATGATATCCACGCATGCTGGCTTCCGCCTAAAAATAGTCGTAGGTGAATGCGTAAGGAATGTTGTGAGACCCCTGCCGTTTTCTGTAGCCACGTTGCCTTTTGTTTACAAATAAACAACTCGTCCAGGATAAGGGCTACTTCCTGCACGCTCCCGGTGCGCAGTCGAGTAAACACGCTTCCAGGTATGTTGTAAAGCAAGTCAAAAGAAAAACATGCCCGAAGTGTCGCCAGCACGGCTAATGCTCATAATAATACCCGCTGACAAGAGTAGCGGGTGCAGCCTTCAACCACATACTTATCAAGCGATAGACCAATCAGCGTGCGAGGATAAAGCAATAATGAAACGAAGCAGTTCGTGGCAGGACAGGGTACACGCGAGGGCTGATAATCAGAACATCTAGCGCGTGAGCTGTGTTATCGGATCTTGCGACCTGCGTTAACAGGAGCTTTGTCGTTACTTATTTTCTTGGTGGAATGCCGATTGAGCGGGAGAAGAAGCTTCGACGAGATTTCACCTCTTGCTTCTTGATGCCTCGGATGGCGTCAATTTTGTGCGCGTAATCTGATAAACCACGACCCTTTCCTCGTCGCGTCGTGACGAGACAAGAGTGATCCCGTGCACGTGTGTGGGTGAAGACGATTTTCGCCGTGCTAATGTATACCGAAGGATGAGACAATCACCCGCACCACTCGCTAATACGTACGCGGAGATCCGTTCCGGGAGCTTGTGTTCTTTTTTTGTTTCTTATCACCGTGTACAAGTGATTATGCCAATCACCACCTGATTTGCTGCGTCGAGCAATAACGGCACAAAAAAAGTTTTCTAAGCCACGCATTTTCGATTCGGCGCTTCAGTGTAGACAAGGAAAATAAGTATTGTGCTAATGGGAGAAGGCAATTATGCCCTTTCCACCATCTGGCTGTCAGAAGCCGATCGAAGTCATTACGGTGTTACTCCGTAATCTCTTCGGAATGGCATCTGCTGTCCCGGATGTTTAGCTGAGAAATCGAGGTCAACATCAACGGCCACTAATAATGAAGCTTCAAAGCCTACATTTGGTTGACTGTATTTCGCAACTGAATTGAAAGAAAACATTATTTTGATTACAATGAAAGGAAGGCGCCGAAGAAAATAATCATATCTTGATGACAATGAAAAGAAAGCACATAAGAAAACTATCATATCTTGATGACAATCAAAGGAAGGCACAGAAGAAAACAATCATATCTTGCGGAATTGTGCGCTAAACGAAACGTCAAAACCTTATCACATCAAACGATTCACCTACATTGTACGGAGTAAAATGCAAGCGAATTCATTGAAGTCCTCCAATAAATCTGCACACTGTCACTCTCGGCGTTTCTTCGCATTTTTATTCGCATATCTCAAACACGTATTCTGAAGTCGCCGCCCGTTCTATGTAATATACCAGCAGTGTGTGTGAGCAGTATGTCAACCATATGTTCTATGCAAGTAGTATGCTAAATCGCGACCTTTTGACAGGCAATAAACAGCACGAAATCGATACAATAGACACAGATAACATATACTTATTGTTTCTGTTACTCGAGTACGTAACTATCTATGTTAATTAATTAATTAAATAATTATTACTTTCAAGTTACAGACGTACAATGTGAGTGGAAAGAAACGTGAACAGTGTGGCAACTACATTCTGTGCTGTATATTTTTTTTTTCAGGCGGTTGTAGCCTGAATGGTAATAAAAAGCTACCAGAGCCATCCGTGACACATTTAAGAGTCTTTCTAGCATTTTTGTTAATGCCGTCCACCACGGTGGTGTAACGGTTACGGGTCTCGGCTGCTGAGCTGAAGGTCGCGGGTTCGATTCCAGCCGCGGCGGTCCCGTTTTGATGGAGGACAAATGCTCGGCCCATGTACTATGCGACGTCAACGCACGTTGAAGAACTCCAGGTGGTCATTAAATTTGCGGAGCCCTGCATCGCGGCATCCCTCATAAGCATATCGTGGTTTTGGGACGTAAAACCTCAGACATTATTATCCTTTTATTGCCGCCAATGTGTAAGAGCGTGACATGAAAACAGCGCGCCGAGTTGCTCACGTTTCTTTCCGTCTCCCCTGTACATCAAAGAGGAGCAAAAGTTGGCACGCAGAATTACTGGCGTTCATACACTTTTGGCATTCACAAACAGTTGACAAAACGAATGTACGGTATATGGGTAAGAACAAGAGTTAACGTCCCACCTTTGTAGGTGGCAAACACGAGCGCCGCACCGACGAAGCCGCCCAGGTACTGAGCCGCGAAGTATAGCGGCACTTTGGCGATCGGAAACTTGCGCACGGACGCCTGGGCCAGCGTCACGGCAGGATTCAGGTGGGCTGCGATGCAAGAGAGGTGTAGTTCTTTAATGACCACTCCAGTTTGGCGCGCATATAGGACCTTGGCTTTTTCTGCCGCATTTCACAGACAGCGAATGGATGGCTTGGCTGCATGGAGAAGATGTCATGGCGATTTTATCCTGTGAAATATAAACTGATCGCGAGCGGAAAACTGTTTTTTTTTTTCACTTTACGACCGTCTGCCAAACTGACGTGCCATATGCTATGCCCTGCTTCGAATCGTCGATTTATTCGTTTTCCTGTTGTGATTTTATAGGCTCCCGGTTATCTCGGTTGTATTAAGCGAGTACCCACGATAGAGGATATTACTTCAGTAAGAACGTAATCGAATGAAATAGTTCATTACGTTCAACTGCACGCAGTTGAGACCAAGTAGTGTTATTTTTGGCCATGCGGAGTTCTTAAACATACGTGCAAAACTTCAACAAACACCCTTCGTTATAATTAAAAAAAAGAACAATAACAGAAAACTTAAAAATTTTTCATTACGTATCTATTACCTAATTGGAAGGTTTATAGGACGTCATTTAAACGATAGTAAAAAAAATCAAATAGACTCACGTGACGCCAGATTTTAGTCAACTCACGAATGAGTGCAGTTAATTATAGGCGCACTTTAATGAACCACGCCTGGTGGTCAAAATTAATCAGGCTCGGCCCCTTTCCCTTTTCCTACGACCTGGCTCGCAGCCATATATACAGTTTTGAGTGGTATTGATATCCGAATAGGCAAACTATAGTGAGCATGTTCCTTCTGAAAGCAAAGCATGATTTACAAAGCTACAAGAAATGGTTTAACAGGTTGCACCTCTGTTATGTAATAAGGAAACTTTAAATCTCAACGTCATGCCAAAGAAGTGAATGCCCTCATAGTTCACGCCTGGTTTCATTAAATTAGCGTCGTGCTCTCTATGCGACTTGCGACAGGTGTTTGAAAGTGTAATGTGTTCAAGCATGGCAGTGAAGAAACTAACCCAAAATCGGCTTGCATCTTGTACTAAATACAATTTGCTATTTTAAACGAGTGACCCGTTAGTATAGCATGGCGCTACTTGCATAGCTTACGGGAATGCGTGCGATCCGCTTTTCCGTTAGACCACTGGCACAGGAAAGAAAATGGCAAGTAATAGTCACACTCTTAACGTTTTCGCGTATGCGTCTGCCCACCACCCTCACCGAATCGCCCAGCGACCACCTATTGCACTGGAGCCCTTGTTATGGCATGTCAATACGTACACGTGCATTAGCTGCGCATGGGATTTAACACACGTTAGTGACAAAAAGATGAAACGAATACGCATTTCCACCATGTATCCACACAGCTGTTGTAACGTCAGAAATGTAGCAGTGAAAACCACTCAAGAGCAACGATCACCAACACAGCATTTTTACACTGCGTCCTAAAGAGCTCTTCGTTAGACCTCCGTTAAATTTGCTTTTCCGCATTCCCGTCGTCGTGGTCCTCGGAGCGATCTCCACAATCTAAAATACAAGACACCGAGAAGCTAAGCACTGAGACATTAGGCTACATTTGCAGCCCGTTAAATCTCTCTGCTGTCGAAGACAATGCGATATAATCAATACGGCTACTCACACGAGACTCCTCCGGAGATTTGCACGGCCACGTAGATGGCGACGCCCCATCCCAAGGGCCCCACGCAAGCAGCCAGGGACTCGTTGTCACCGGCGATGATGATGGCCATGATGGAGTCGCCGATAGTCTGCGCCAACAGATTGCAAATTCGGGGTCAGTATAACTTAGCGACGTAAACGCTTGAATTTGTGGCTGGTTAACTATATGCTTACAGCTCGATTATAATAATGATTGTATTTTTCATGCATAAGGTGTTTAAGTGTCAAAGCCAGTGAACGGATTATCAGGCAAACAATCACAGAGGGCTTCAAAAAATTTGACCACTAGGTGTTGTTTAACGTAGACTGATAATTACGTCGCATAGTGCGCGGACATCTAGTATTTCGCGTCTGTAGAAGTGCGACCGTCACAGCCAGGGTCGAACCCATGACCTTTGGGGCAGCACCGTAATCACTGTATACTATCGGGGCGGACTGCACACGTGGTAGAAAGAGAAGGCGAAACGCTGTCCGAGTCCTCGTCTCTTTCCGATGGAGGCGGAAATGTTGTAGGCCCGTGTACTCGGATTTGGGTGCACGTTAAAGAACCCCAGGTGGTCAAAATTTCCAGAGCCCTCCACTACGGCGTCTCTCATAATCAAATGGTGGTTTTGGGACGTTAAACCCCACATATCAATCAATCAATCCTCGTCTCTTAATTCACCGACGTGTAGGCTTGCAGATGAAAGCATGATTTAAGTACTGTGTAGTTTAGTACTTTTCTTAAGAGAAAAAAATATTATGAATACCAAATTTTAGATTGCTGTTCGGCGTGAAGAAGCGAGAATTTCCGTCGTTAAATTTAATTGAAGACACAAGTGTTACTACTGGTTGATTGATTGATTAGTTGATTGGTTGATCGGTCGAAAAGGGGAAGGTACTTGAGTGAGTGAGCTTAATTTCTTCAATCTTGTAACATACCCGACCTATTTCTATTATTAAAGATTTGTGTTCGAGAAACGGCACCCACTGTAAAATCTATAGGCCAGTGATCTCTTCGACACAGACGTTCACTCGACAACATTACATAAATAAGCCAATTTGCAATAGTTAGACAGCGCTCATCTTATTCGACTTCTGAGCACGTGAACGACCCCGTACTAGTCGTCCGCTTTTGAATCCTGGGTGAATCGAATTGTAGGGCGACGACGTCTGGTCGCCCGTGGCGGTGTACACGTCTGACTTGCGAGGCGCCAAGGCTACCGGCTAGACCCGTCACCGATCATACGTTGGTTAACACTAGCGGCGTTGCGGCCCCGTCAAGTTTTATGATGGCAGAAGGGGAGAAGATAAAACGGGAATGGCGGAAGCCTCGCAACGGCGAGCCGTGGGAACGCGTTTCGTCTTCTCGACATTTGGGTCACATCTGTCATTATCGCCACTTGGCGGCCGTTTAAAGCCGGTCGACCCCGAATAGCTCCCCGTTTCGCAGAAGTGCTTTGACTGCTTAGCGGGCTCTCTGTGCGAACATGTAACCACGAGAGGGCGCTTGTACCTGCATACTACTGTCAAAGCGGGCATGTTAACAGACGTGGTGTCCCGTAGTGCTTCTGGTGCTTGCAACTTCTGACGCGAAGGTCACAGGTTCGAAACCCAGTCGTGGTGGTCGTATTTGGATAGTGGCGTAGCGCTAGAGACTAGTGTGCTCATATTTGAGTACATGTTATATTACCTGGGGGGGGGGGGGCGAAATTTTCGGAACCATCCACTCCGACGTCTTGCGTAATCACACCGTGATTCTGGGACGCGAAACCTATACTATTGTTGAAGCAGGCATGTCCTCTACGTGGTATTGTTTGTTGAAGACAGCCGATTAGCTAGACAACGTTCAACCATCACTTCGTCAGCTTGAGTCAACGCAGAAGAGCAGTGGTTTCTACAACAGAGAATGGAACGTCCCGTAGTAGAACAGTGCGTTAAACAAAGCCCAATTTAATCCGTATGCCTCCCGGATTTATTATAATAAGAATAATATCTGGGGTTTTGTGTCCCAAAAAACACGATATGATTACGAATGCTGGCGTAGAGGAGGGTTCCAGAAATTTGAACCATCTGGTGTTCCTTAACGTCCACTGACACCACATGTGGACAGTACACAAACTACCATTATCTTGCCTCCATCGAAAGGTGGCATACCACGGCCTGTATTGAACTCGCAACCATTGGGTCAGCAGCAGAACACCATAGTCACTGCTCTCCCACGGCGGACCCTCCCGGATTTACCAAAAGCACTGCGTAGCTTTGACGGATGCAATTTGTAGGAAACCAAATACGCTCCCATTGAGAACTTTACTTTGGCTGCTGCTCACCTTTTTATCTTTACTTTTCCAATTGAAAGAAGACAAGATGTACAGGGCTGGGGTTACAATATCAATTTTTCAAACCATAAGACGCTTTCAGATGGGCGTCCACAGCAGCTATGCATACTCAACCTGCCAGCCTTTTCCCATGACAGATTGTGTCTGCAGAACTGCTCAGGAAGCTACACTAAAACTTAAGTCTTTGGCATAATATTCATGCCTAAGATATTTCAAAGTGCGATCGCACCTCCCTACTGAGCTGCACGCCTCGTACGCTGACGTCATACCTGAACGCACGAGGCTTTGATACAGTGGCTCTTGTATGCAGTGGGTTATTGCGGTCGTTCCCAAGAAATAAAAAAATACAAAGAAAACACGTGTGCCGTGTACTACTGAGGCTCGAGCTTGCACATGTGCTACTGATAGAAACCACAGCTGCGGCTATTTCATCGTTTCTGTGCGTGCAAGGACATCCGTATATGACACTCTGAGGGAGCTTACATGACGCACCGCTGTTTGAGCTTTCGGTGCAACTTTAGAGACACAGTACGAATTGCACTTTCTCTTCAAACGTGTTTCCGAAACCTCCAACAATCGCTTCGTACTGCTGATAAAGTTTTTCCTCTGAGCTCGTGGTATGCCTTTTTTTTCTTTTTGACTTGTCGTTTCAGCGCAAGCCACAAAGGGCAGGCAAGATCAGACGTGTACTCGTGGCGGCGAAACTTGTGACTTCATCGGTGTTGCAGCGTTGAGTGTAACCGTAACAAAGCTAACCATGCGTCATACCTTGTATGTCCCTTCAGCACCAAAATTCCTGGACATAATCAAATTTGTGACTTCATACTTGAGGGCTTTCATGAAATTAACATGCTACCCTGTGTTTTGGCTGTTAGGTCTGGCATAAGAAGACCTTCGACTCAATAATAACCCGTCCATGTAATGTAAGTGAGGCCACTAACTTTGTTTTATCTATGACTGATGTTTTGACATGGCAGCTGGCCTCAAACGGTTCGGCTAGTCATGTCGAAGGATCAAAATTGCATCTGCGAAATTCGCACAATGCTTCTCAAAAACACATAAATCTAAAAGCCTTGAGGATACTCCGAAATGTCGCTGTACAAACTAGTTTAGAGTGCGGAAGTCTGTTCGTAATCATGTAATTAAAATGCCAAGCAACACGAGAAGCTATACGTCACCAAACACGTTCATTCTTGCATTTCTGGAAAACTGGGATCAAACGCAATGTTGCTTATTAAGGAAAGCAAACCAGCATGACTTACGTAAAGAAGGGATGTTGTAATTTGTTAGATAGGTTCAAGTAACATTTGTTCAGTAGCAACAACAAATATTTAGAAGTTCAAAAGTTTACGCTTGTTGCCCCTTGTCATACCTGCCAACAAACACAAAAGAAAACAAAAAGTTATAACGTTGCAGTTTTTTCTTCTCCTCTTAATTACGGTTTGCATACAAAGGCTTCACTCACGTCAATACTCCCCTAGCTCTCTCCATAAATTTTGTATTAGATAGTTCAGTAGCTGCTGAAGGTATGCGTCAACGTTGACGAAACTCCGACGTATCGAATTGTGCTGCATGCGCAAGCCTTATTCGGCGAATTTTTCGTAACCATTTACATGTTCGCACCGGTAAGCTAACATGATTAATAGCTTTAATAGACGTGAAGGGATTCCCTTCTTCACTGTAGAAAAACCGCTACCAGTAGAATGCGTTAAAAACAACAAAAGAATGATCGCAACTCTACATGTGTGTACGTTACAAACTTTGGAAGCGCTCAGTATTTGCCACAGCGACAGTACCGCTTTCCTGCTGTTTGTCGCTGGATATCATAACAGCGTTTTATCTTCCTTTCTTTTGTTTGTTTCCTCTTCTTACTTCTCTTTTTCTTTTTGCAACAGCTGCTATTTCAAACACGTGGCGTCTCTGTGGCCTCTGAATTCACCACTGACAACCGCCATATCCACCCTGCGCACACACACTCACACACTCACACATGCGCACACGTGCACATGCATACACGCGCACACACACACGCACACGCACGCATGCACGCACGCACGCACGCACGCACGCATGGACACTTTGGGGAATATTGAAATGTCCAAATGTCAGGTAATGCTCCATAACAACTAAATTGTGTACACGGCTTTGTATTGAACAGCCCAAACACCTCGAATCGTGTCAATTTTTAGGAGATACTTCTCATATAACATAATTTCCCAAATGAGTTTGTCAGTCTTATTCATATCCCTATGCGGTAATGCTATAGCTATGCATACCGCTTGATTTCCGTTCACATTTTGTATTTCCTCCAACTGAGACTTTGACATGCCTGACCAAGAGTTAATAATACTTTGCTATTAATCTTCTGCCTTGATCATGCTTTGTAAACCCAACTGTCTACATCCCCTCCCCCTTTGTGCCATGTTCCCTCATGGAAACCGTGAGTTACCTGTATCAACGTATAAACATCAGACTCTGCCCAGGTGGCACTGCGAAAAACCCCGCCACCAGCGCCCTCATCGCTTCTCTGGCTATAAATGGGTAGTGCAAAGGGAGCCGTCCGCAAGTGAACGTGCATAGGCCCCCCTCTTTCATTGGTGTTGAGGCACAGTTTCCTGAAAATCAAGGAGCTGGCAAGTTGCTTCCACCAATCCAACCTCACTTCAGAAAAGTAGGAAGCACATCAACAGTGGTGGCAGCGAATGCTGCCCGGTGATGCGCTGGTGGACCAATTCAGGGCTGTCCAGAGGGTCCGTGCGGCGGCAGAAGGG